CTCTCTCTCTCTCTTTTTCTCTCTCTCTCTTTTTTTTTTTTTCTAATGTAGAAAAGTAGTCATTTTCTCCAATCGGACTCAAGGGAGTACTCCTTTCTTGAATAGAAGCTATAGCTTGTTGTTTGCTGTTAATGCTTTGAACTAAGCACTCATCATGGATGGTATAGTATGGTAGAAAACAGCCTTTTCTTCGTAAAATAAAGAAGATTGCTTTGAAGGAAGGCTTCTTAGTTATCATATGAAGGAAAGTATATTATTTACATTTTCTCGAAGCACTCCTCGTTAGTATAAATTACTCTGAGCTACAGCAGATAATTTTTGGTTTATTACTATTTTATTTGAGCTGATAAGACTTAAGCCTTGCTAATTCGATAGTTACATGCATCTACTCTCAAGGGTTGGAAGGATTAAATCTGCTCATTGGACTTTTTGGTATTGTTTAGGTGATATTGTGAAATACCTGTACAGACAATATGGTCAAGGAAGAAATCCCTCCTTTGGCCTCTTGGAAAGGTAAAGCACTCATTAATTATTTTCTTTTCTGCCTTGGTCTACTATTGTTTTCTAACAATTTGATGTTGAATTTCCCTTTCTATGATTTCTGCCAAGTTATTTTTCAGATATACTTTCCTGATGCTTCTCAAATTTACCCTTACTAAACTATAGCCTGTTGGAATAGAATGGTGAATTAGGGCAGAATTGTGAATGTATGATGGTACTTTAACCCTGTTTTAACACAGGTATTTAAAGATAGTATTTGCCCCTGACCGGGTATGTAACACTCTATAAGCGCAATTGGAGTTAACAAAACCTTTCAGGACACAACGTAATAGGAACAACGGATTCTCTCACTTTTCTTGTATGTGAACAGCGATACTCTATTATCTGAAAACTAGAGAGAGAGAGAGAGAGAGATCATTTTTAGACGAGGATTTACTCCCCTTTATATGGAGGTTCCCATCGGCTCGTCCAGAAGGAAGTGATAGTTGAGAAAGAGACTAACTCATCACAAAAGGGTCATCTCTCTTCACTACTGATATTCACATCAAGTCACCATATCAAGTTTTAGTGATAGTTGAGAAAGAGACTAACTTATCACAGAAGGGTCATCTCTTTTCACTACTGATATTCACATCAATTCACCATATCAAGTTTTGAACAATCACTAACTATATGGTAGTTACTGACACTCAAAATTAAAATTAAAGCAGTAAAAATTTTCCTTTTTACCTTGTTCAATGATTTTGCTATTCATTGAGAAAAAAATTATGCTGCTGTATAAAATGTTGACTTTAATTGCGACCATGTGTCATGTGATATGAGAAGTGCATAGTGCATCGCAGATGCCCTTGGCCCTCAAACACGCAGGCACATAAATGCATGCAGTGCATGCTTCATATGCTTCTGTGGAATTTTTGTCCCTCCCATGTAAAAGAACACAAAGGGGGAATGAACACATACAAACCCACCTCTCTATCGCCATATGAATCAATGTGTGACTAAAAGCCATGTGCATATTTAACTATCTTAAATGAATAATATAAACACAGGAGTTACTTTTTAGGGTGTAATACATAGTAGATAGTACCTATTACTTAGTTTTATACTGTTCTGAAATAACTGGAGCATAAGTTTAGTATTTTGCATGGGGAAATTCTTAGCTGTTGGTAAAGTGCTGCAAATTGGATGTAGAACTCCATGATACACAATGAACATGAAGATGAATATTTACATTAGCTGGAGTAGCAAAATGATGGGTGTCAAAGAAACAAATATGCATCTCCCATTCAATAATGGAGTCAGAGTTCATTGCCTTAGATTTTGCTTGTGAAAGAGCAGAATGCCTGAGCAAAATGTAATATAACCGAGTATTTTGCCAAAGCCAATTCTAGCACCAGCATCCTATTGTGATATTCAATATACAAGGTCTAAAGTTTGTAATGATATATATAATGGGAAGTTGACTAAGGGTCTTGCATGGGCATATACAGCCCATTAAGCAATCGCCAACAACAAGAGCCCAACCTAGTATTTTAACTATGAATTGTAGGTTCAGTAGAAAAGATGAGCTATTTAAATTGCTGACCAAGTTTTTTAGATTGATTACTTGATCACCAGATACAATTATTTATAGAGAGCATTTATAATAGGAGTAATGAACATATCCAAGATAGAGGTGCATGAAATCACAAGTTTGCCAAACACTCCAAACACATGTAAGGGCACAAGTTTTTCACCAAAGAGCTTAACTGGTGGAGCAGGTGGTACCCACCTGCTCTGACTGGTATGCCCCTATCCCCCAATATTTCAGAAGTTTCTCTCTCCAAACCCAACATCACAGCACTTTCACGATGTCTCAAAAGAGAGAGAAATCTCTCTCTCTCTCTCTCTCTCTCTCTCTCTCTCTCTCCTCCAACCCTCTATTCTTTCTTCAAGTTGCCACAGTAGGTACAGTAGAGAGAAAAGTCTTAAAAACTCCAAATCCTATTTCCCTTCCCATTTCTCAGATACCTCCCCAAGCCCATTATTCTCTCTCTATGCTGTAGTGATGGGTACACCTGTACCCTGATTTCTCAAAAGAGAGAAGTTTCTTTCTATAAACCACCTACTCTCTCAAGTCCATTTTTAGAACTCAAGCTTTCTCACTAGCCTTCTTTCAAATGGCTTCTCTCTCTCTCTCTCTCTCTCTTCTTGTTGACTTGTTGAGGCCCTGTTATTTACTCTCTTAGAACCCTCCATCCCCTCTGTTTAAACCCTTTGGGCAATGCCAATTTTCTCTCTGTCACTCTCTTGCCCTTATATTTCTCCTCCAAGGTTGCCTAGAGCTTTCTTGCTCTCTCACTGTTGTTCTCTCTACAAGCTCTTATTCTCATCCTTTTACTTTTTCTTCTCTCTCTCTCTCTCTCACTGCTCTCTCTCTAAAGCCTCTGAGATTCGCAATCTCTGGAAAGAAACATTTGGATGCTACCTAATGTGGCCTGGGTTCACAACCTACAAAATCAATAATACTCTCTTATTTATACGAGTCTCATTCTAGCGGTATCCAAAAGAATGGATAAATCTAGTGATGAAATGTGTGAAAGAAGTAGAGTTAAACTCTCAATGAGTCTATTGCGGACTATTAATATAGGGGTTCTTCTAATTGACTCACCATATAAGTATGGAAGCCCTGCTGCTGCCTATGAGATATAAGCATGTCTTTAGAGCATTTATTACATTGATGTGCAAGCACAAGAACCTGTAGATGCTGATAGATTACAAACACTAAAGACATGTATAATGTTTGTGTAGTATTGCCAATTGTTGTAAATGTTCAAAATTATTGGTTACTAGCAGTAAGCACCTAATCTTATGGTACATAAACTTATTATATAATTTTGGAAAAGTGGAGGATATGTTAGTATTCAGCACAGGAAAATACTTGGCCCAGTTCAAAATATTGTAAACTAAGCATTAAGTAATGTATTATGTCCTATACCTTTTCAAAAACAACTTTTTTATTTTCGTCTTATTCATTTCAAAAGGTAAAAATGTAGGCATTGTTTTTAATCCAACATTGGTTGATTTGGAGAAGAGAGATGGGTATATATGAAGTCATTCTCCATTCCTTTATGGTTTTATGTATGGGAGAGAGAAAGACTCCACATGTGCGTCCTCTTGTGTATGCTAGGTTACAATGGTGTTTGAGACACACTTGCATCATGCAGAGACACTCCAGGCCCAAATACGCAGTTTGTTTTCACAGTTCCAGTTCAAATTTTTAGACCATAGTATCCTTTTTGAGCAGCAGAAAGGCAAAATCATCCAACAAGATAAATTGGAGGTTTATGAGTGCTTTAATTTGAGTTTTAATTGTCATTAACTGCTTAGCAGTTAGTGACCACTGGGAATTCGAAGCAGGGAACTGATTTGACCGTTAACCATGAACTTATGTAGCTGTTAACTATGAAGAGAGATGATTCTTCTCTGAAGGGTTCTCATCAGTCACTTCTTAATGGGCGAGCCCATAGAAACTACATACATGGGTGAGTGAGCACTCACTCTAAAAACTCATACTCTCTCTCTCTC